GTGCTGAGCCTGTTCTCCATGCCCACCGCTGGCTGTGGAGGCTTCTTGAAGACATTCCTCCTGTGCCTGGTATTCCAGGTTGCTGGTGGTTTTCCTCAGGTCACGTAAGGAATGATGCCACTGTCTTCCTACTTGCATTCTTCCTCTTGAGAAATTAGCTTGACACTCCTTTGAAAGACACTGGTGTTCTCTTTGGCTTTCCTTTTTAAACATTAAAAAATTAAAAATATATATATGGTTGCATCATGCATACAGAAAAGTCCTTAAAATGTAAACATATGGCTAACAAATCATTCTACTATGGCCCTGACGTTCCTGCCCCCGTGAGACGCAGTGTTGCTGGCTGCCTGGACACCTGGTGGACACCTGAGTGCCCTCCCCCGAACAGCAGCTGTTTTGGTCTCACCGCCCCGCACGTGCCTCGCGCAGTAGGGTTTTGTTTGTTTGTGTTTAACCTTTATGCTGAGTTGTCCAGCGTGAGTTCCTTTGTATCTGCTTGCGTCAGTCAGGAAAACAAGGGAGTGTAGAAACAGGACATGGCCGTGGGGCTGAGTGGCCTAGCCCTGCCGGGGCTCCCTGCTGACTGCCCGCGCTCTGTGCTTGCCTGAAACTCACCTTTGGGGAGGCTGCGTGAGGAGCACAGAGCTCTTCATTCTGTTTTATAGTTTCATGTGAGTTTAATGCTGTGAAATAAAATGATGTATTGGGAGGAAATCGAATCGTTATGTCCCTTGGTGCTGCTATTCATCCAGTGCCTGGGGTCTGACCAGCCTGGAACCACTTCAGATTAAATTCCTAGCCTGATGTTTAATTTGATGGCCCGCCCTGCACAACTTACTGTTGCTGGTCTTAGAGGGATTTCTATTTTTTCTTCCCCTTAGAATCTAAGTGGTTTTCCTGAGATTCTCCAGGAAGAGAGCAATTGGCTTTATCTCTAGTTTGCCCTGAATCCAAGAGTGCTGTTTCCCAGGGGTTCAGCATTTGCAGGGGTGTCTCACATCTCACACCCACTCTTTGGGCAGGCTCTGGCCACACCAGTGAGGGCCTGTGGCGTCCTCTCCCTCAGGCTCCGTCTTGGCCGCGTGGCGTCATCTCCCTCAGGCTCCGGTCTTGGCCGCGTGGCGTCATCTCCCTCAGGCTCCGGTGTTGGCCGTGTGGCGTCATCTCCCTCAGGCTCCGGTCTTGGCCATGTGGCATCATCTCTCCTGGGCTCTGGTCTCAGTCATGTCTTTGAGCCAGGTCTCCTGCAGCAGCACAGGAGAGGGGTTTGTGTTCACCCTGCGAGAGGGTCCCCCGGAACCAGAGGGGTTCATGCTCACCCATCCCTTCAAAAGGTCCCCTAGAACCAGAGGTCCCACTTGGCTTGAGTCTCCCCAGGGCTCCCTGCCCCCACTGCAGCACAGGCACTCGACCATGTGTGGCTGTGTGTTAAAAGTGAAGACGCGGCCGGGCGCGGTGGCTCACACCTGTAATCCCAGCACTTTGGGAGGCTGAGGCGGGCGGATCACGAGGTCAGGAGATCAAGACCATCCTAGCTAACACGGTGAAACCTCGTCTCTAGTAAAGATACAAAAAATTAGCTGGGCACAGTGGCGGGTGCCTGTAGTCCCAGCTACTAGGGAGGATGAGGCAGGAGAATGGCGTGAACCCAGGAGGTGCAGCTTGCAGTGAGCTCAGATCGCGCCACTGCACTCCAGCCTGGGCGACAGAGCAAGACTCTGTCTCAAAAAAAAAAAAAAAGTGAAGACACACCCTCAGTCACATGAGCTGTGCTTGGAGGGCTCAGTAGCCGTGTCGCCAGGGGCCGCTCGCTGCCTTGAGCGCAGACAGAGAAATGCATCGTGCAGAAAGCGCTTCCCTGGCAGCTGACCTGGAGTCCACCCCAGCCTTTTGCCGGCGCTGGGGGCATCAGTGTTCTGGCTCCCAGACTGGGGAGGGGCTCTGAGGGTCAGTCACGGAGCCTCCTAGGTGTCCGAGCTGCCTCAAGCGCCCTGGGGCCTTTTCCCCACTGACTTGATCTGTGTTTTCGAACCTGTGGAGGCCGGAGCTGTGCCTCCATCTGCTGCGGCTCTGGGGGCTGCTGCCCTCTCATCTGCTGCCTTTGGTGTCCCGGTCCCTCGTGCTGTCGGGTTTCATTGGTGTCCCGGTCCCTCGTGCTGTCGGGTTTCATTGGTGTCCCGGTCCCTCGTGCTGTCG